ATTCCTCTGCTGGGTGTCTTCCCCAAAGAATTAAAAGAATCATACCACAGTGATATATGTGCACCCATGTTCATAGCAGCACAATTTGTAATAGCCAAAACTTGGAAACAACCCAATTGCCCAACAACTAGAGACTGGATAAAGAAAGTGTGGAGGTTTTTTAAATAAAATGGAGTATTAGCCATAAAGAACGAGAAACTAGAGACATTTATAGCTAAATGGATGCACATTAAGGCGATACTCTTAAGTGAAATAAACAGGACACACGTGTAAATACTGAATGGTTTCTCTAGTGTGAGAAACTGAAAGTGTAAATAAGGATTAAAAGATATAATGGATAATGTGAAATAGGAAGAAAAGGTGCAAGGGGGAGGGGGAAGTGAGAGGGGTAGGCAAAAAGAAAGAAGGGAATGGAATTAATATGAGAAAAAGAAAAAATGGAAACAAAGTCCTTTGTAGATAAGGGAGGAGTGGAGGGGTTGAAGGGAGGGCAGGGGAAGGGGGAAAAATAAGAACCAAGGTGGATTATGTAAAGGTGCAAATTTCCAATGATGAATGTCATATTGTATACCTTAAATGTACCAATAAAATTAATTTTGAAAAAAAAAGAAAGGAAAACTTGATGAAAGAAAAAAAAGTGAAAAGCCAGTGAATGAATTCACCAGCAGTAAAAGTGACTGAATGTTAAAGTGCAGAGGGGGCGTGTTTGAGAGGATCAGCCCTCAAAACAAGATTTCATTACAGACAAATTTTATAGACACTATTTATAGAGTAGTTTTTTTCATTTATCAAATGATATCATTATATGAGAGAAAAGAATATACACACATAAAAAATTTTAATGTAACATTTCAAAAAGGCAGTCTTGTGAATGTTCTGCAGTATGTTGCTTTGTTATAAAGTGGGCTTGCAGCGGGACTCTAGTCCAAAAAGGCAGAGCCAAAAGGTTTCTGACTCATATTCTAAGGAATGAAGAGGAAAGGAAGTTGAAGTTTATGTATACTGTCTCTAAGCACCGAGCAGGGTACTTTTTCCTCTATCATTTCATTTGTAGTCACAGCTATCATGAGTCAGGTCCACATTTTGTTTTTACAGGTGACGATTCTAAGGATCACAGTAATTAATTAACTTATAAAAGTTCACTCAGCTAGTTAGATGTGACCTTGTGATTCAAACTCAGGTCGGCCTGATCTCAAAATCCTCTGTCACACTGACTGTTGAAATATAAAAGCTGCAGGGGAATATGATATTTGTCCATAAAAGTGAGGTGAACATGGCTACAAGTCAGTTATAATAGTCCTGGAACTTTACAGAGATACACCTAAGACAAAAGAGAGGTATTATTTTACATAAAATACATAGTAAATTGGTAAAGTATGTAACTCTGAAAGGTGGTTCAGATTTTAATTTTTGAAAGTTTAAAAATTGATATATCTAATGAAAGATATTGAGACAAATGTAGCATCATTGTGACGAATTTTATGAGACAGACATCAAAGAGAACAATTATGCCTTTCTATTAAATGTTCCTTGGTGCTTTTGTCAGATGAAGCATGGATCTGAGCCCATGCGATAAATTTTTTTACTCTAAAGGCAGCTATAGTTAAGAGGAAAACTAAGCCCCAAAGAATTGGTACTTGATGTGTGAATTAATGCAATTAATTCTCAATTACTTGATGGTAGATGGTAAAAATGGCAGCTAATTGAAAGTCCAATTTTATAGTGCAAAAAAGTACTCTGAGGTTTACACTTGAATATGCTTGGGCATCAGAGTTCTAGAATTTACTAGATTTGAAGTAAAATAAACTATGCCATCAATACCCAAACAGAAGAAAAGAAAAGCTATTATACTTTCCAGTATTACTCTCTTTACCTGTTCTCCTAAATCTTCCTTTCTCCCTTCTATTTCAACATAACCCAGATAGCTAAGCTTTTAATTCACAGTACCTGGTGATTAGAGAACCCACTTTCTCCAAAATTATTTGCTGTGTATGTTGGAGCAAATATGAGTAAAAATTGGGATATTAAATAAATGTTTTACTTTAAAACAAAAAACCTCTGAAGGCTGTCAGGTGAAGTAAATAATAATACAAGTAAACCATTAATACAAATAATGTTAACTAAGAAACCATTTTATATAAGCAGAGAAGGACCACATAGAGTTGAGGAAAAAAATTACAAACAATCCATAATGTAAAAAGCCCCCTACAAAAAAATAAAAATAAAAAGGCCCCTACTGTATAATTATGAGTTGGTTAATATATTTTCATGATTTTTAAACTTTTCTTTATATTTTCTATAGTCAAGAAATATAAGAGTTATTTAAAAAAAACTACACAGGACATATCTTTGCTGTTCTGAATGAAGTGTAAGCATCCTAAGAGTTTATTATGGTTCTGGTAGGCTAGTAGAGTCC